GGCCAACCCCCCCAGCTCAGGCTGCGGCAGAGCCCCCACGGCCCATGAGGAGCTGCCAGGACACAGGCCTCCTTGGTTCCCAGCTCCTTGATGAGACTTTGTCTGGAGTCCTGGGAGATGTGGCAGGTTTTTATTTGCACCCCCCCCACCCCTGCCCCAAATCTACCAACGGTGCTTTGGGAAAGAAGGAAGCTGAGTGGGCAAGAGGAAGAAGCTGATAAGCCCCCTGACCCTACCCTAGCCCAGCCCAGACGCCCTCTGCTCCCCGTTATCACAGACTTTCCCAGACGCTCCCGACACTCTGTGCCAGCAGCACCAGAGAAGTGCGTTCCTGAAGGGCAGCTGCAGCAGGCGCAGCTCCTTCCTCTGCCCCCCGGTCCCCCCTCGCTTCTGTGCCCAGCCCTCTCTCCCTGTGCCACCCCTTGTCTACGCCCCGCTTTCCAGAGAGGCCCAGGGACTTTAGGCAGAGGGTGAACCCTGTGGTCCATCTCCTTTCTCCCCCACAAGACGGTGCCCTGAGCCATACGGGCCCCCTAGCCACCCAGAATAAAGGCCACCTCCCCGGATGCTTGGCAGCTGGGGACACGTGACTAAGTCGTGGCTGGTCAACTGTGGCGCCCTCCTAGGAGAGCTGGCTTGCACCCTCCCGCCAAGGTCCAGTCCCACTGGGACATTTGTCCTTTGGCTCCCAGCACCCAACATCCTTCCTTTTCGAGAGAAATCCCCCAGGTGAGTGACAAGCAGGGGTGTGCTGCTCACTACACGGCCCACGGGCGGTGGCAGGTGGCGTTTTCCAAGCTGGCAGTCCCCACTTGCTATTTCTCCCAGGCAGCTCGTCTGTGCCGCGGATCAGTGGAAGGGGGTCTGGTTGCTGCCCTGAGCCGGCCTCGTTCCAGACAAGAGCCGAGACGCCGGATGTTTTCACTGCAAAGCAGCTGCTGGCACAGCCCCGTTCTGGAGCACAGGAAGCGGTTCCAGTGTCCTCAGGACCTCTGTTCTCATTTCCCACGCTGGCATCCGTGGCGTCACGTCATAGCTCCATCGCACAGATGAGCGAGCCAGGTCCTGGCTCAAGGTCACACCTGGAGCTCTCCAGGGGCCCAGCCAGGTGGAGCCAGTGCTCCAGTCTCAGAGGCAGACACACCTGGGCAGGTGAGCCCAGCAGGCCGCCCCTCCCTCCCGCCACGTGGCTGTCATGGCACCCACCTCACCAGCACCAGGTGACCATTGCTCAGGCAGACGTCCGCAGACGCCCGTTCCCACCGCACAGCCTGGAGAGAGCTGGGCAGAGTGGGAGGCGCCCGCCTCCACAGCTGGGCTCCTCATCTCCTGGGGGGCCATCTGGCCACATCCATCCAAACGAGGGGTAACCCAAGAACTGGCCTTGGTGTATTTCCAAATACAGTCGCATTCCGGGGGTCTGGGGGTTAGGACCTCAGTATATGAATTTGGGGGAACGCAATGCAGCCGATCACAAGGACCAAATGAGTGAACAGAGGGCTCAGTGCCTGGCACGTAGTAAGAGCTATACATTAATTCTTTAAAGAAAAAATACGATTTTCCAGAAGAGTGTAAGAAACTGCTAAGAGGGCTGCCTCTGGGGGAGAGGTGTGGGGCTGGGGCGCCCTTTGACTTTAGACTCTGTGGATTTGCGACCTGAATTCTTAAAAGAATAACAAAAATCATACTAATAGTAATGCTTTCAGAGCACCTGCCCAGTGCCTGGCACGAGTTAGGGGGTCCGGAAAGGTGGGTTTCCCCACCTAGGGGTCAGGCCCAGGCTCCAGAGAGGGGGAGGGCAGTGCGGCTCCCCTCCCCCATTCCCATGCAGCTTTTGTCTTGGTCATCACCCCTCAGGGAGGCCCAGCCTTCCCCTTGTGAAGCCCCCAGCCCCACTCAAGGGCACAGCTTCAGGCCAAATGCTCAGCCCGCCCAGCCCTTCCCAGGCCGGCCCCTTCTCCAGTCCTCCTTGCGCCTGGGGAGACCCCATCTGTTCCCTTCTCTGCTGCCCCAGGGGTCTCAGAGTCCCTCCCCCATCTGGACGATCTTGGGGCCCACGGCCCAGGGAGGCCAGAAACCCAACTGCCGGTTGCTCGAATAGGGGAAACTGAGGCCAGAGTCCCCAGGGAGTCAGACAGGCTGTGCGGGTGATTCTTTGCAGCCTCACCTACCTTAGGCTTCAGCGTGAGTTATGAGCCCCCAAGGTCGTTCAGGGTTACCTCTCATCCTTCCCAATTCTAGCAGGTCCTGGAGGATATGGGACCCAGCCAGGTCTGGGGTGTCCTCCACTGAGGTCTCCCCAGAAATGAACAAGAGAGGAGCCTGAGCTGGGAGGACAGGGGGCCTGGAAGGGGTGTCTCCTAGAGGCATACGTGGGCTCAGAGGCCTCCCCACCAGAGAGACCTGCTCAAGTCCTCCTAGGGCTGGCGACAGCTCCACGGCCCCCCAGCAGGGCTCGGGGGTCCCACCCCGAGGAGAGCCCTGCAGGGCCAGGCCTGCGGGGCTCCCAGCAGACAGGAATGGGGAGGCTCAGGACGGGGGTCAGGTCCTGGGACGCCAGGTACTCCAGCCAAACCTGCCCCCAGCTGCCCGGCCTCCAGCACCCCTGCCCCCCAGGGACCAGGAAGGACCCTGGAGGGTGGATGGCTTCCCTCTCCTTTCTTTTTTCCTTACAAATTTAAACGAACATGTTTCCTTCAATTGTGATCTTTTGGGCTCACAATTACCCCTGGCACCAACCTGGAGCGCCAACAGCTCCTGCTCAGACTCACTGGGCACCCTCCCGGCCTCAGTTTCCCCATCTGAGCAATGAGAGGCTGAGCTCTTGCTCGGCTCCCATGGCGGGCTTGGGGGGCACCCACCCCCAGAGCTGGGGGTCCCTGCTGGCCTCTGACCCAGCTGGGGTGGGGAGGAGCTGCGGCTCAGCGTCTGGGTCCCTGAGGCCCAGCGGTGGGAACCCCGTGAGCTGTCAGCGCGGCTGGTGTGCAGTCACAATGGGCTCAGTGCTCCTGGGAGCAGGTCTGGGTGCGTCTGTTGTCTGTGTGCAAGCACTTGTGTCTTTATGTGCACACGTTTGTGTGCATGGGACTCTGCACGTACCTGCGTGTGTTCACGTGTGCACACGCCCGGTGTGTGTGCAGGGTCACAGGTCATGGGCCACCCCCTTGTGAATTGGGAGTGGCTGAGGAGGTCAACAGCGACCGACCACTGCTCTGGGATCCCAGCCTCGGGGCCCCCCAGCCAGTTCTGACAGGAGAGACCTGAAGCTTTGAAAGGACCGGGGAATGGGGTGCCCAGGAGGGAGTCTGGGGGTCCCCAACGTGCTCCCAGGGAGAGTCCAGCTCGTTTGGAAGATGCCGGTGGGCTTCACTGGCTCAAACCCTCGCTTCCTCCAGGACCCAACGAGGCCCCAGCCCATCTCCTGCCTGGCTTCCTTCCCTCGAGCCTCTGCTTCCGCGGTTCCCTCCACCAGGAGCCCTTCCTGTCCCTTGTCTTGGCCCAGGTCCTCCTCCTCCGCTAGGGGCGACTCCTCCCCCGTCAGACTGGGCGCCTCCTTCGCCGCCGGGAACCCACAGTCCCGAGAATGAGCAGCCACGTGCTAGGCGCCCATTTTTGCAGAATGAATGGAATCCAGAATCAGGCCCCGGCGCGGAGGATGCGGGAAGGGGACCCTGGGGTCATCACAGGACAGGTCGTTCCTGTTCCGCGGGTGGGGCTGGGTTGCCCATGTGCCCCAGCACAGCAGGGAACCGCTTCGCCCAGCAGGATCTACAAGTGCCCATCTGGGGACCCGCCGCCCCGAGCCCCTTGCAGAGCCCCCACCTCCCATGATCGGGAAGAGCCTGGCTCCGGAGGACTCATCTGTTCCGTCCACGTCATTAAGACTTTGCTGGCTTCCAGCCTGGCTTTAACCGGAGCTGCGGTTTGGCCGCCAGGACCCCGCTGGGGGCCCAACATCCTTTTGTGGCCTCCATCTGCCCTTGTCAATCTCGAGTCTCCCGCCCCCGAGGGCCACCAATCACAGCGCGGGCCTCCCAGTTTCGTCATCAGCAGCCAATCAGCGCTTCCGCTGACCGCTCGGGCCGCAGCAGCTCCGGACAGCGTGGTGCCCCGGCTACCCCGCGAGACCCCTGCGCGTCCAAGTCCGTCCTCGACCACCGCCTCCTGTGGGGGACACCCACGGGGCGCCCCGTTGCACCCACAAGGCTGTGCCTTGCCACTCTGAACCTCAGTCTCCTCTTCTGTAAGATGGGAACAGCACTCCCCTGGGGATGCTCTGGGGTTAAATGATACACTGCACTGAGCGGCCCAGCCCAGTGCCTGTCCCCGGGGTCCCCGCAGCTGGCCCCGTGGAGATCTGCCAGGGGCAGAGACCACAGCTTGGAGTCAGGACCCAGCTCCTTCCTCGCGGCTGGAAACTTCCAGCTTCTTGTCCGCCAGGTGGAGAAGGGCCTCCCGGCTCCCAGCATGGGGCCTGGGGGGTCCTGCTTTGATGGTGGGTGCCTCCAAGGGTAGTCCATCCAGCTGACTCCTTCCAGGGCCTGGACCAGTCCTTGGAGGCCACCTGGACGGCACATCCCAACCCCAGGAGGACCCGTGCTTGGTTTGGGGGCTGTGGATGGAGGCACACAAGGAAGGCAGCCCAGGGCCCCCGACCTTCAAGTTCTAGTCGAGGCGCACCTGCAGAGGCAGGAGGAGGAAGCGCCTTCTGCTGCCTCAATCTCTACCCGCTAATCATGCAGGTGGGTGGTACCCAGGCCGCCCAAGGGCGCCCCAGCTCGAGGCCTCACTGACAGTGGAGGCGCGACATCGAGGGACCACAAAATCAGCCACCTCCACACCACGGAGCTCCCACTACGTGCCTGGGACACCGGGGGCTCCACCGCCTTGTAGGCCCTCCTTCCTCCTGGAGGTGTCCAGGCTGCTGAGACCACCCATTGGAGCCTCGGGCCCACCCTCCACGCCCGCCTTCGTCCCCCAGACACACACAGGCCGCCTCGGGCTGCAGACTTGCGTTATTTTATTTTGCTCTTTCCAGTCTGAAGCTACTATCATGGGCGTTTAGAGTTATACAAATGACACTTACAAAAAATAAAAGACCAGGACACCCAGAGTGAGATGCATGGCAGAGACGACCTGGCGGTGGCGGGGAGGAGGAGGAGCTGGCGGGGGCAGGACTGGGGGCCCGGGGGGGGCCCAGAGGGTGAGGCCCGGCTTCATCCCACCCCAGGAGTCCAGTCAGAGAAGTCCAGTCAGACGAGGAGCACCGATCACACCGGGGGCTCCGGCTGAGGCGGCGGGGGGCCCAGCACCACCAGGGGGCACACAGGCCTGGGACCGGGGTGGGCAGAGGGACGGGGGCTCCCTGGGGAGGTGGGGGCAGGTTCTCGATTCAGGGAGGCACCCACCTGCCGCACCCCTATTGGGTAGAGGGGGCACCGAGGCCCAGAGATGCCATCTGGAGACCCCCGACAAGCCCCCTTGAAGACCACACTGGGCTACACCCAGGCTTGCCAGGGGCGCCTTCAGCTGTAATGTTCCACTAAGAAAAAATACTGATTTGGTCATTTTCTGCTTCCAGTCAGGCCAGGGTGAAGGAGAGAGAGGCAGGGCCCCGGACCACGTGGGCCATGTGGGGATAGGGCAGCGACGGGCATGCTCCAGGTCCCGGCCACCCTGTGTGGCTTCCCTGCGGCCGTGGGCCAGGGCGTGTGCCCAGCTCCTGGGTTGGGGGGGCCTCTCGGGAGGGGGCAGGGGGATTCCAGTTACACACCCCGCCTCGCCCAGGGGCTCGGGGAGGCCTCATGGCCCCCCGCTTCTCCTCGGCCACTCGGGGGAAATAAGGCTCAGAGCTGTCTGAGGTCAGAAGAGGTGCCAGCCTCGCCCACAGCAGAGAAGAGAGGACAGAGGGAGCTGGGGTCCCTCGGAGGCCCAGGCCACCCCGCCCGGCCGCCCGGGGAGCCCACCTGGCAGGGAGCGAGCGGGGCCGGGCGGCCGGGTGGGCAGCGGGCCTAGTACTCCCACAGCGTGGCGGGCTCCACGGCCTCGGCGCAGGCCTTCAGGACCCCCGCGTGGTCCCCCTTTAGGTAGCGCCCGCCCACCTTGATGGCCACCTTGTTGTAGTCGCAGAACTCGAAGAAGAAGTCTACGGGGGTGTCGCTGCTGCTGGTGACGGAAGAGTCGCTGCCAACCATCCAGTACTTGCCCGTGGAGTCTGGGGGGCGACAGTCCGTCACAGCCCGGCCCGGCCCCGCTCCCCACCCAGCCATCAGGGCTCCAGACCGGGGAAGGGGTCCGTTCCACCCACCCGGGCCTCCTGTCCATGCTGGATGGGTCCCCACCCCCAGTCCTTGGTGTCGCATCTCAGGTGTGTGACGCCTCCCCTGCCGACCCCTTCTCGAGTCCCATCTCCCTCTCTGCCCGCCTCCCCGTGCCCCTTCTCTGGCTCTGTCTGTGGTGGGCAGGGAAATCTCCCTCACTTCCAGACAAGAGGGGCAGGGGCTGCCCCCAGCCCAGAGCCTGGACGGCCACAGGACGGCTGTCCCAAGGGGGACTGGAATGGCCCAGGTCAAGTCACAGGTGGCCAGACTGAGAGGGGCGGGCGGTTCCCTCTCTGTGCCCCAACACCGATCCCCAGGCCCCACGCGGCAGCCACCCTCGAGGGGGAACCTGCCTCTGATGTTGTAGGCGCCGTCGTTGAACTCCAGCTGGAAGACATCGTAGCTGGAGCGATTGGCATCCAGGGTGCCCGTGACCTTGCGGCAGCCGATGAAGCCGTGCTCCCCGCGGAGCACAATGATGGGGCGGTTGATCAGCTTCATGAGGAAGAGCTCGGAGTCCCCTGTCCCGGGAGGGGCAGAAGCAGTAAGCCTCATGGGGCTGGGGCTGGGGCTGGGATGCCCAGGGTGACCCAGAGAGGGAGAGCAGGAGCCTGCAGTCACACAGCACACCAGCCCTAGGGTGAGGCTGGGCAGGGCCGGTTTAGGGGGGAACGCCCAGCACCAGGTGGGCCTCAGCGGAGTGACCTGTGGGTGGACGCTCCGGAGAACCGGAACTCAGGGTGCACCCACGGGGGGGTACCTGCTGTTTCCACCGACGCGGCCAGCTGCCCATTCTTCTTGGCCGTCACGAACTTGCCATTGGAGGCACGCAGCGTGATCCGCCGGTCACGCCACTCGATGTCAAAGTAGCAGCTGGCGTTCCTGAGGGTAGTGGGATGGGGTTAGATGGGACCAGCCAGGCCCCCAGGCCAGGGTCCCACAGGAAGGGCCGGCCTCGACACTCACTTGGTGGAAGCGGTGGACTGCACGCCCCCGGTGGCCGTCAGCGTCCAGTACTTGCCCGTGTGGGTGCGGAAGGCGCACTTTTTGGTGTCGCGGTCGATCTCCAGCTGGAAGGTCTCCTGGTCGGTCTCTTCGTCCTGATTGGCCGACAGGTCCATCCCTGCGGGGAGAGCCTCCAGCTGGCACGGGGACCCCACGCCCCCACCCCATTCCAGCCAACCCCCCTCGGCCCCACATCAGACGGCAGAAGCCAGGACCCCCGGGCACAGGAGGCAGGCACCACGGCCGCGACCCCCGTCTTCACATCTCTCTCTCGGATCCTAGGAGCAATACCTTCCAACAAACCCACAGCAAAAGACGTTCAGGAACCAACCGGAAGAATCTTAACGCGGCCCAGGACAGGTATCAAGGCTTAATTACTCTCCGTCACATTGTGGTGATGTAAGAAAATGGCCTCATTTTTCAGAGATGCAGACGGAAATGTTTTGAGATGAAACACCCTGAGGTCAGGGGTTTGCTTCAAATATAACCAAAAAACGATGAATCACGGGGCAGATGGGGCTGGCGTGGCAGGATATGGCACCTGGGGGGGTCGGCATATGGGCTCCTGGTACCCTGCCCGCTTCTGTACGTGTGTCAAGTGAAAAGAGAACAGCACGCGCTCCTCTCAGGAAATAGGGAAAACTCACAAAAGCACAAAAAAGAAGTCAGGTGTGCCCCCCTCCCCCCCCCCGCCCAGGCCCACCACACCCAGACCGCCCTCCCGCCTTCATGCAGTGTCCTTTGGCCCTGAGCGCGTGCAGGCTGGCGACCGGCCCAGCATCTCTCCCCTGCATCATCTGATGGGACGGGGCTGGTCCCCTGGCCCACGCCCACACTCTGCAGCACAGTCCACAGCCTCTGCGGCCACATCGTTTGGACACCTGTGTGGACTCCTCCAGCTAAAGGGGGATCTTTGGTTCCAAGAGACCCACGTTCCCCGGCACCCCGGGGTGACTGCCAGGGCTCGGGCCTGTCTGGAACAGTGGGTGGGTCACTGTTCGGGCCTCGAGGCCTTTATGAAGCCGGGGCCACAGTGGCGGGTGATGGGCGTCCCTTCAGATGAGGAGGTGGAGGCTGGCAGGCGGGAGCTGGGGTCTGGGCTGCCCCCCGGGCCCTCCTCCAGGGCCCAGGCTTAGATCCACCCACTCGAGAGCTGGATGGTGCCAACCCCGTCGTAACCCATGACATGTCCACGTCAGGGCCACGGGGCCCACCTTCACCCCCACTTTACAAGAAGAGAGACTGAGACAGAACAGCGACGTGTCCTTGGTCAACGTCACCCAGAAAGGAAGTAAGGGGTCCCGGTGGCTCTCAGGAGGGGAGGTGGGCAGACTCAAGCCTCCTGCCACGCCCTCCCACCTCTGCCTTTTCCTCCTCTCTGTGGACTGGCAGACGTGGCCTCTCTGGGTCGCCCAGGGCCCTGAACCAGACCCTCACGGAACCCCCCGGCTCAACCCTCCAAGCCCACCAGGCCCCTCACCCCGATGTCGGGGATCTGCTGACCGCCCGGGACCCAGGGGTTGAGCTGGATCCACCATCATGCCCCAGTAAAGCACCGGGTGTGGACAGGAGTCAACAGGGGCTGGGCCTGCAGGGCACCCGAGCCATCACCTGGAAGGGGACCCACCTAAGGCCGTGGCCGGCAGCAACACTTGCAGCTGGGGTCCCTCCTTGCTCAGACCTTGCCCAGCAGACCGAAGTCCTGCCACCCCCACATCCCACCTCCGCTCTGCAGAAACCGGCCCTGAGGGCCCCAGCCTGCTGGCCATAGGGCGCCACCTGCCCACTGTGTGGCCAGCCCGCTGATGGGAAGGAAGGGGGCAGACAAGAGGAACAGCCCCTCTGGGCGCACCCCAGCAGCAGAGACAGAGGGGCTCCCAGAAAGGGGGGCAAAGCAGACCCGGAACGGAAGTCAAATCTGTAGGACAGCCTCATCCTGGGGTTCAGAGAGCCCGTCTCAATGCAGCCTTGCAGACAAACAAGGTGCTTCCCAGCTTGGCTGACAACAAACGCAGGAAGCTCCTCCATGACACCGGGGTCACGGTGCCCTGGGCTCCGTGCGGATGTGGACAATCCTCCCGGCAGCAGCCCCACGGCACCGTCACTAACATCCTCTTCCCGCAGAGGAACAAAGGCAGGACCCCCCCCCCCCGGCCCCCACCGCCATGGTCATTACATGCCCGGGGCCACACCACTGCCACCATCTGCTCACTTCCTCAGACCTCGTGAGCCTGGTTGTGTCCAGTCCTGGAAGCGCTTTGATGACAAGGCCGAGGCCGGCCAGTGGGATTCCTAGAGTGGGGCCAGGCACCCTTGGGCGAGCGTCTTCTCCTCCCTCAGCCTCAGTTTCCCTCTCTGCCTGTCCAAAGGGCCCGGTCTCTCCATTCTGCCAGGAGATTTGGAAGGATTTAGGAGCCTGGTGCCAAGGAGACACCAGATCTTCTGACCCCAACAGGCAGGGGTAGGGGGTGGGGGAGGAGACCCCCGCCACCATCCAGCGTGACCCCTCCCGGCTCCAGGGCCCTTCCTACACGGGAAGGGCCCCTCTTGGCCCTGGAGCCTCCAATCAGAGCTGGGTTGCTATGGGAACGCGGTTTTTTCAGGATCTTTCCTTTCATGAACAGCAGCACAGAAAACCTGAGTCACAGAACATGTGGGGGCTCAACGGAGCCCACGGGCGCATCTCCCACTTCCCTCCGGGGAGTCCTAGTGAGCCCCCTGGGCCCCCGCCTGGCCCCCTCCACCATAGCTTTCCCGTCTCCAGTCTCAAACATTCTCACGCCTCCCCGTCTAACCCCCTTCCCGGGTCCCCACCCACTCCGTCCTCAGCAGTTCTCAAGTCCCCCTGGTTTGTTCGAAAGAGGGAGTCCCCACCACCCCCACTCAGTTTAGAGGGGAGCCTGGAAGCATCTGTGTCGTCCCCCCCCATTTTTCCAGTCAGCTCTTGCCACTTCCTGACGGCTTCGAATCCCGCACAAGCCAATCCCGGGGCCTGAAATGCCCTGCCTCGCCGGGAGAACTCCTACACATCCTGCAAAGCCCAACTCGACCAGGCCTTCCTCAGCCAGCCACCCGTCGCCTTTGAGCTGCTGGGACAGAGCACTTCCTGAGCACGGGATCCCCAGGGCACAGCTGGACAGAGGCAAGGAGGCCACGGGTCCAAGTGAGAAATGCCGGCAGGCCCTGCCCAACCCGCATCCTCACCCCGCGAGGTCCTCACAGCTGCACTGCTCCCCAACACCTGCACCGGATGTGAGCCACCTGCCTGGTCACATCAGCTCTTAAGCAGCAGGACCCCACTCACGGGGTGGGGGTGGGGGGCCGACCCTGTCTCTAACGGTGCCTGTGACGGAAGACCTCCTCCCAGAGATAAAGCCTGGCTGAGAGAACCTGCCCAAGGCAGCCCTTCACAGATGGGGAAACTGAGGCAGGAGAGCAGGCTGCAGCTTCAGCAGGGAGCGCCCCACCCCCACGGGGGCCCGGCGTGTGCAGGCGCGCGGGGATGATTCACACCCCGCAGCCGCCTCAGCACTGACCCTCCTCCTTCCCCGCTGGCGTTTCCCAACATGTGCCGGAAGCTCGGCCGCCGCCTCGCTGCCACGCAGGCCCGTCCAAAATGGCCCCTGCAGACACGCCCCCCGCCCCCCATGCTGGCTGGGGGTCCTGCGGTCATCCTCCATCCCACCGGCAAGATTCGGGGTCAGCTAACGTAAGAACGAGATGGGGACCCCAAGACCCGAGGTCAATGGAGCCCCGATCTCCGCCCCCGGAGCCCCCTCCCCCAGCTCCCCCTCCCTTTAAAGTCACAGATGAGCCAGCACGTCTCTGGGCCCAATTTCCAGCTCCTCCCGCGCCGTGAGCCTGAATCACACCCTGACGCCCCGGCAAGCTTTACCAGGAAGGAGGCATCTGCCCAGGCTCGCTGGGGGCTGCCAAGAACACCCCCAGGCGCTCTCTGCGCCTTCCGGGCCCCAACAGTTACAGACAGAGCCACCTGCCTCCACCACGTCTTCCCCAGGAGAGGTGCTGGACACAGCCCAGCAAGCATGCAGCATACCTGAGTCAAGGAGCACCCAACACGGGCCCTGTGATCCTGCTGGCTGCTCCAGTCCCAACTTCCCAGCCACAATGGGCATTCTCCTCCATCCTGCCTCGGGGCCTTTGCACAAGCTGCGCCCTGTGCCTGCAACACCTTTCCGCACACCTGATGCATGCTACCTTCCATTCATCCTTCGGGTCAGCGCAAGCGTCCTCAGAAAAGGACCCCCTTCCATCTAATCTGGGGCCCTGATATATTTCCTGGACCCCCAAGCCTTTTCTCGACACCTCTGGGATATTGCTCCTGTCCGATGGAGAGCACCAGCTCCAACAGGGAAGGGCCCAGGACACGCCCATTTGTCCACCACTCAGGTCTCAGCCTGTCCCACTTGCTAAGGGCTCAATGTTTGGGGCACAGGTGGGGAGCCCTGCCCCACCCAGGACTGTGTGAGGCCTACTGCGCCCTGGAAACCGGGAGGCATCAGGCGGTTCAGGTAAGAGCCCATTCTGGAATCAAACGACCCCGTTCTGCATGCTGCTTATTTGCTGTGTGACCTTGGGCTCATGGCTTCACCTCTCTGGACCTAAACCTGTCCGTCTGTAAGATGGACAGGATACCGCCCGCCTCAGCCAGCAAACTCAGGCACCAAATTGCCGGTACCCCACCCGGGGCCTCCACTCCCGCAGCCAGGGGGCTGCGCCCCCCTCCGCAGAGCCCAGGCAGGAGAACGGCCATGTGGAGAGAGGCCTTCCTCCACGGAAGGAGGCCCCTGACTGGGCTCCCATCCAGCCACCTCCAGAGGCTGGGGTCCAGCTTCCCATCCAGGGGAGCGAGACCCCCGCAAGTCCTCCAGCGGGGCCTGCGGCAGCCAAGAATCAACTACCTTCGCCAACGCAGGGGCGCAGGCGCCAGAAGGAAGCGCAGCCGCCTGGGGGAGAACCAAAAAGGGAAAAAGGGGGGCTCGCTTCTGGCGCGCAGGCCGGGAGGAAATGGCCAGGCCAGCAGGAGGCCGGAGCAAGGACGCATCGAGTTGCGGCCAATTGTTCCCGGAGGGAGCCTCGGGGCGGGGTCGCTCCACGGCAGGGGCTTCCCAGTGGAGCCGGGCTGGGGTCCCCAGGGGCGCGCGCGGCCGCCCTCGACGCGCGCAGGGCAGCGCCCGGCCTGGAGGCGCGCGGCGGGCGCTGGGCGGGGAGCCTGGCCGGCCGCCATCCGCGCCACGCCGTCCCCGGGCCGGGGCGCGAGGAGGGAGCCGCCTCCTGGGGAGGCTCCGGACCCGGGCGCTGGACCGGGGACGGCGCGCGATGGGGGGAGTGGGGGGGTCCTCAGCGGGGGGACCCGCAGCAAGCCCATCCCCTCCCCCGCCCCGCCGCATCTGGTTTTCCCATCTGCAGAGAGTGAGCAGGACAAAGGGGGCGAGGGAGGGCCCTGTCGCGGAGCCCGCCCCCCTGCTCACAAAGGCCGCGGCCCCGAGCGCTGGGCAGGCGCGGGAGGAGGGGCAGGGGGGGAAGGGCAGACAGTCAGGGCGCCCCCCCGACCCCCAGCAGAGGCCGACCCCTCCCGGCAGCGAGAGGGGGTGGGGAAAGGCCCGGAGAGCGGGGAGGTGGAAGCGCATCCCGCGGAGATCAAACGCTCCCCTCTCCCGGCCGCGAAATGCGGTCGCAGGGGGTGGGGGCGCGCCCCGCGCCTGTTGCGACCCCCGCCTCCGCCCTTGAGCTAAAGGCCGCCGGCGGGGGGAGGGGCACGAGGAAACCGGCGAGAGGGGCGTCTCCAAAGGACTGGGCCCCCGGATGCAAGGGATCAGCGCGCGTGGGGAGAGCCTACATTGGGCTGGGGGTTCGGAGGGTGGCACACAGGGCGATGCCTTACGGGGGCCTGGGGAGCCTCAACCCGAGGCCGGGTGGGGGTTGCGCAGCGACGCCCAAGGATGGGCAGCGCCCCACCCCTCGCCCCCTCCTCCGGGAGGCGAGCGCACGTCCCGCGGCCGGGCTAAACGGCCTGCGCGCCCAGCAGGGGCGCACCGGGCGTCGCTCGGGCTGGCAGCGGCGCCGCGGGCGAGAAAGGGCGGGAGGCTGGAGGGACGGGGGTGGGGGTGCGCTTTGTGCGGCGGTCGGAGAGGCGGGGGGCGGCGTCCCCACTCACCCTGGCGCGTGGACACGTTCCTCTCGTTGGCCGCCTGCAGCACGACCTGGGCGCAGCTCTGCTCCAGGGCGAAGAGCTCGTCCTTGCCCACCTTGGTGGCCTTGCCGGCCTTGAGCGTGCCGCTGGGCCCCGACGGCGCCAGGTAGCGGCCCTCGCAGTCGCGGAAGGCCACCTTGCCGGAGCGGAACTCGAGCGTGTAGCCGGTGGCGGGCTCGGGGCGCGCCACCAGGCGCCCGTCGTGGCGCAGGAAGCGGTGGTCGGCCGTCTGCACGCTGTAGCGCTGGTCCTGGAAGGCCAGCGTGATGAGCGAGTCGACCCCCCAGGGCACGTCGCGGTCCACGGCGATCTCATCGGCCGGCCGCGCGCTCAGGTGCGCGTAGCGCTTGCGGGTCAGGCTGTAGATGTTGACCTGCGGGTGCATGGCGATGTGCACGCTCCACTTCTCGGCCGGCGACACGCTCTGCGCGAAGCACGACAGGCGGTCCTCGGTGCCGCCGAAGTAGCGCCGGTGCGCCTCGGACTGCAGGGACCAGCGGCCGTCGTCGTGCGCCACGATCAGGAAGCGGCAGTCGGCGCCGGGCGTCTCGCGCTCGCAGGTCACGTTGCCATCCTTGTCGGCCGCCAGGTAGCGGCCCAGGTGGCTGCGCAGGCACACGGCCGCACTGCCCGCCTCGTCGGGCGGCTGCTCCAGCGTCCAGATCTGCTTCTTCTTCAGGCTGCTGGCCGACGCGTTCACCTTGAACCCGAACGCCTCGGCCGTCAGGTACTTGTTGCTGCAGTTGATCAGGCCGAACTGGATCTGCACCGCCTCGGCCGTGCCGTTGGCGGGCATGGTGGCGGCGGCGCCCCGCTCCTTTGTTCGGCTCGGCGCCCGCGACCCGCGCGCTCCCTCCGCTGCGCTCCACAAAGCCGGCCCGCCGCGCCCGCGCCTTTATAGGCGGGGTGACGTCAGCGCGCGGCCACGCCCCCGCGCGCTCGCCCCGCCCCCGCCGGGGAAGTGGGGGGGGCGCCTGGGGCGCCTCTGCAGCCGCCGACGCCTCCCACCCAAGGCCGGGGTCCCCCTGCCGCGGGGCCGCAGCCTGAGGAGCCACCCAGAGCTCGGACCCCTCGGAGAACCGCCCCCCTCCCCAGGCCCAGCCCGGGGGAGGGAGGGACCAGCCAGATTTGAGGTTGTGACAGAGACCAGAGGGACCACAGAGCATGCGGGTGCTGCGCGCAGGCTGCTCGGAGGAGGGGGCCTTGGAGGAGCCGAGAGGGGCCCCCGCGAGGACCTGTTGGCCCAAGGAGGGGGTGCAGGGCAGGAGCTAGGAGGGGGTCTGCAGCCCCCAACTCACCCAGCCTGGGCCTTGCAGCCTGGCTCTCCAGAGCAGGGGCTGTGGTTCCCTGAGGCTTCCCGCCCTCCCAGGACACTGCCCTGAAGGCCACGGGGCCCCCTCCCTGTGGCCAGGCTCCCAGACCCGCTGGCCCACTTTGGTGTCCGTGGTAATGGCCGAGACAAGTGACCAGCGGTCCCGTTCTGGGGATGGGGATGCAGACGTCACAGTGTTCTGATCTACGGGCAGTGGGGTGAGCAGTGCGCCCTTTTCCCGGTGGCAGCTCGGGGCGGGGCAGCGCAGCCCGCAGGACGCAGCCGGGGTCTCGGCTCTAGGCCAGCGTGCCTGCCACTTTATACCCCCAGGTCCTGACTTCACAGCACGCCTAGCGCACCGCAGGAAGGGTGACGCAGCCGTCCCCCTTCAAGACCCCAGCTCTTCATCCTCCTCCAGCAAAGGGGACATTCCCTACAGACGCCCACCCCACCCCGGGCAAGGCACACTTCCCTTTTCTGAGCCTCTGCGAAGGCTGACACTTTTGCTGGGACATTCCCCACATGCCAGACAGGCCCCTGGAATGCCAGCGTGACCACAGGCTGCCCACAAGGTCCCGGGGCCAAAGGCAGAGAACCACAAGGCCAAAGGGCACTGGGCTGGCTCCGGGGTGGTACGTCTGTCTCTGTGCCTCCCCTCAGGAAGTCCCCTCTAGGGATTTTTATCTTCCCTGGGGATGGTGGTGTCACCTTCCCATCGGTGTTTACTGGCAGGGCCTTGAACCCCCGGCAGGCACGCCCATAACATTCCCTCCCGTCATCTAATGGGTCAGATAGACCGTCTCTTGAAACCCAGTCTCTCACTGGCTGGGTGACTTTAGGCAAGTTACTTAACCTCTCTGAGTCTCAGTTTCCCCTCTTGTAGAAGAGATACGAAGCCCTCATCTCGGGGGGGGGGGGGTCTGAGAATCCCTGGGGGCCTGGAGCTCAGATACTGTCCTTGGCCACCCTTGGGACCCACTCCAGTCCCCAGGAAGCCCCATGCATAGATAGGGAGACCCCAAACCTCTGGCCAAACCAAGGCTCAGAGGAGAGAATCCAAATACCCGTAGATGTTTCCAGAAGGCTGCAGGTGCCAGGCTCGGCGCTGGCAGCCAGGCTGGAGGATGCTGAGACCCACCCAGGGGGATGGGGGCTGGGTGGCCCCCTCCCTCCTGGGTCTGCAGCTCCCCGGTGGCCCGAGTCCCCCTCCTGCAGCTTCACAGCCTGCAGGCCAGGACAGGCCTGGGGTGAGGGCTCCTGCCTCTGTCACACCGCGGGGGGAGAGAGGGACCAGGCGTTGGCAAGAGATCCTCCCAGGGCTGGGAAGACTGGCGAGTCCAGGTGGGCACGGCGGCAGCCTGGGCCCCCACGCTGGGCTTCCTGGGCTCCGATGGCAGCTCTGGCTCACGGTTTGCTCGTCTCTACCAGGGGCTGGACGATAGCAGCTGCCCTGGGGTGGGGGGGTGGGTCACGAGCACTGGAGAAGCTGCCACTCGGAGACCCGACTGAGGGGGCTCCTGGGTCGCGGGACCCCACTTTCGAACCAGAGGCATCTCCCTCCTACGGGGACAAGTCACGACTCTACACATCCGGCGCCTAGAACAGTGCCTGGCCTGTGTCAGTGCTCCATAAACACCAGCTGTTTTATTATTCACTCAACAACCTTGACGGGAGCGTGCTGGGGACACAGACCGCCAGACTCCCTCCAGCCTTTCTTCCTCTTATTCACATTTTTTCCCGAACAGATAATACATTCATGTACTTCAAACATCCAAAAACATGCAAAGGCCTTCCTCCCCCGCCATCCGCACCCCGCCCCCTGGAGAACCGCTTTGAGGTTTGTTTCTTGCGTTTCCCTGTATTTATGCAAAGACAAGCGGACGTGCGTCTGTACTCTCATTTTTCTCCTCCTTTTTAAGCAGTATTTTGCGCCCTGCCTTTTTTACCTGATGTATCTTAACACCGGTTCTGCTTCAGACCTTGATCTTTTCTGCAGCCGCGTAACACCCCCCGGTAACGTGTAACCGGCACCCTGTGGACGGACATGTGGGTTGCTCCCATCGATGCCCTGCTTTGGCCAGAACCCCTCCCAAGGGTGAAGCCTCCAACCGCAAACCAACATGTCCTCGTGTTTCTCTTGGCCTGGCTCTGGCCCATGCACCACGTCAAAAATTAAGGCTGTCCAGCTTTGCCTTGAATGCCTCCGGTGATGGGGAGCTCACTCTGTCCTCTGTGCAAAGCTCATGTGGGTGATGCATATTTGCCCTGCTCTAGATTCGGTGGAGATTTGGGGGCCCACAACAGCTGCCAGGAAAGAGGGGTGACAATAGACAGGGCAGGCTACCAGGGGCTGAGTCTCTGACCACAGATCCTTGGATGGGGGGAAAGTATCTTGGTTTTTAAAAAATTATTATAATCAAATATTGTTGGAAAGCCGATATAGGAACAAAAGCTCAGGCAGTTTTGGCGGAAGAGCATTTTCAAAAATCTGTCCCAGCTCTGCGTCTGTGCCGCGTTCCCTCCTCTCGCCTTCCCCGAGTCTGGTTACACCGGGCACCGCTGTGTCCCACGCCTTCGCACAGTCCTGTCTGCACGCCCCGCCTCGGGTCCCTCTGGGGAAGGATGGTGACACGGACGCCGTGTCCCTGAGCCCCACGGGAGCCGGGCGCCACCTGAGCTGCCCTGGAACGAGGGCATGGCACGGGGAGGACGGAGGTGCTGGGCGGGGGCGAGGCCCGGCGGCTCCCAGGCTGGCACCGGGCGCCCTCCTGCCTGACCCAGGGAGGGAAATGAGGGCACGGGGATGCAATGCTCGGCTGGCCCTGAACCAGCTCCCTGAGCGAGGACTCTGAGCCACGCACCTCAGACCGCTTCTCCCCAGCCGAGCAGCCTCGGAGAATTCCCTGCGCCCCGCACCGACGCACGGTGGCTTTCCCAAATGAAGTCCCGAGGTGCAGGCCGGCCAGGAGGCCAGGGAACGGACGCTGGGGTCAGGCGGTCCCGGAGCTGACGCATCCTCCCCGTGGGACCTTCGACAGGTTTCTTCACTCACCTGCCTCAGTTTCCTCATCTGTCAAATGGGAATATAGTACATGCCGTTTCTCGTGAAAACACAGGTGTAGATATCATAATGGCACAGTGTTGGTTACGTAAAAACAAAAACAAAAACAAACGTCTTTAGCTGTCAGAAACGCCCAGAAAGATCTGCCTGTGAAATGACAAGATGTCTTAAAATGTTCTAGGCAGAGGGGTGGCCATGTGGGGGCTCCTTCCGTGGTTGTGTCTATGTTAATAAATGTTTGGACGTTTCCATCATGAAAAGTTTTAGGAAAACACGTGAAAGATAAAAATAAACAATTAAATATCCCACATATCCCTCCCCCCAGAAAGAGCGGGGGTGGAGAATGGATGGAATGAGAATTTTCGTGCCAGCAGGGTGACAGGGTGACAGCGCGAGAAGGCTCGCTACACTTCAGTGTTTTCTATGTATGTGTGAAATTTTTCATGACGGCAATAAAACCTGACAGAGGCACTGAAGATTGAAGACCCTGCTGACTGTGTCTTAGTACTGTCATGTGTGCACTGTTCTGTTGTGTTTGGAACGCATCCTGCCAGACCTTTCTCTCTACGTTTATTCACAAATGTATCATGTAGATATAGACAGATGATCGATCAATCAATAGATAGATAGATAGATAGATGGATAGGAGTTATCAATAGATATTTAGAGGCATTGAAGATTGAAGACCCCGCTGACTGTGTCTTAGTACTGTCATGTGTGCACTGTTCTGTTGTGTTTGGAACGCATCCTGCCAGACCTTTCTCTCTACGTTTCTTCACAAATGTATCATGTAGATATAGACAGATGATCGATCAATCAATAGATAGATAGATAGATAGATGGATAGGAGGTATCAATAGATATTTAGACAGAGAAGTGCTTAGCTTTATTTCTGAGGGTTTTGCTTGTTTGTTTGGTGTAGGCTTCAGTTTTCTTGCTCTGCATCTTGCTTCCAGCCCTTGGTGCCACTTCCCGATGAGCCCCCGTGTCAACACGGCTACTCCCGCCCCGGTCTCCCTGGCATGTGGAGACTCATCAGATTCCTCCTGGGCCACCACGTGGGGTGACGCTTCCAGCTTGATCCCTGGTGGATGGCTGCCTGACCAGCTGGGCCCTCGCCTCCACCCACCCCAGCTGGTGGAAGCCGGTCCTCCCACCCTGAGCCACATGCTGGCCAGGGTCTCCAAAACCCGTGCTCCCCGAGGCTCCTCCTTGCGGAAATCTTCCCAGCCCCCAGAATTGGGCCCCGGCTCCCACCGGCCCCTGGACCCCTCCCTCGGGGAGCATAGAGCGTGGGGGCGGTGAGGCAGCATGCAGCCCAGCAGTCATGGGAGCGCCAGGCAGCGTGCCAGGGTGCCTCTTCCTTAACCTCCGACAAGCCTGCATCTCACGGACGAGGGCCTGAGCCGCCAGCTGAAGGACCATGATCGGAGGAGCAGGCTGGCAGCTGCCAGGGCAACGGGAGTGACTGCGGATGGGTACGGGGTTCCTTCCTGGGTGACGACAGTGTTTTGGGACTAGAGAAGAGGTGCGGGTTGCACCACGCTGTGAAAGGACTAAATGCTGCAGAATCTGGACACTTTCAAAGACTTAATTTTACGTTATGTGAGTTTGACCTCCATCAATCTTAGGGGGAAAAAAAAAACAACCCCCGAATCACTCAGCTGGGAGGTGATGGATGGAACAGGATTCAAACCCGGGCTTGAGACTGTTAACTGCGGCTGACAACCCTACCAAGCGCCAGGCCGCTCCTCCCGGCCGCACCCCTCCCAGCCGGCAGCCAGCGGGCGGCTCTCCCCCGCCCCCGGCTCCCACCCTCCCTCTGCCTCTGGGGGTCCCAGGGAGATGGGAACCTCAGGTGCCACCTGCCCAGGGCTCTGCCTGCTTTTCCGAGACTGAGTCCTGCGCTTGGTCTTGACCATCACCAGCATTTGGGGCCCCCAGGATGGCCCTGCGCAAATCACAGCCCCCCGGAAGCTTCGGTTCCTCTTCTGAGAAAGGACGGGGTGTGACCTGGTCCTGGGAGCTGCCCGCCAGCATCACTTGGAGCTGTGTCACGGCCAGGAGGCCCCGGCCTCTCGAGCCTGTTTCCCTTCTCTCAAAGGAGGTCAGCGCACCCCAGGCAGGCGTGAGGGACAGAAGGGCCATCCCCGCCACAGACGCACAGATGTCCCTGGCTCGGCCACCGTAAGTGACGGCCTCGGCCCGGAGCCTGTGAATGGCGTCTTTGTGGTTCTGCCTCGGCCGCCTCTGTGGCCCCTCCGGGCAGCCTGGTACGGCCGGCCGGCGCCCCTCATGCGCCTCTCCGGGGGAGGAGCCAGTCCCAGGGTGTGACTCCAGGACAGCTGTGCCATCAGGGCCACAGGCTGAAGCCAGCATCTCAGGGTCAGGGCCCTCATCACCCCGTCTCCACAGCATCCCTGCCCATCTCTGGCTCCAGGGCCTTCAGGTTACAGATAGAGAAACTGAGGCCTGGACAGAACAGAGGGACTCTGGCCCCGCTTTAAGGAGAGATGTGCAGTTTTCAGGGTCCCAGGCGCGTGGATCTCATCAGATTTGCCAAGAGATTTGTGACCCCCCCGCCCCTGGCCCTAAACGGTCCCCCCTTGAAGGCAGTAGCCAAACCTGTGGGTGCCCAGGGCATGTGGTGAGCTGTCCAGGCAGCAGGACCCCAGAGTGAGCCGTGAGGTCCAGGAGGGCCTCCAGGAGGAGGTGATGCCTACGCTGGGTGAATGGGAGCTCAGCAGGGCAGAGCCAGGCAAAGCTGGAGCAAAGCATGGAGGCCAGCCTGCCCCGTGTCTGCTCCTGAACGCATATCCCTGGAAATCGTTTCTATTTCTGTCGTCCTGGATGAAGATGCCCTTGGAGAGAAGCCTGGATTGGCCACGGCCGGCAGCTCAGAGGCCGCACCCGGCCGTCCACCCCACTCACGGTATGGCAGATGCTGGTCCAGGGCCCGAGGTGTTTTGGAAAGTGAGGCCATGGCGGCGTCTGCTTGGCAAATGCCCGGCTAATTAAGAGGGCATTAGCACCCTGGGCCGAGCCCCACTCCTGCCAAGACGTCCTTGCCAGGAGCGCAGCCGGATTCTTGGCCGTGGAGAGCCCATCGGCTGCTGCCAGACCTCAGCCTCCCCGCACCTGGCCGCCACCCCCTCGGGCTCCCCGGATCCTGCGCCCGCCCTCCTGGGCGCCCCCGCCCTTCCACCAATGCCCCTGAAGCCCGGCAGGACAGGCCGGCTCCGGCCTTGCTCCCATCCGTCAAACGGCGTGGTCATCCGTCCCTCCCTGAGCCATGGGAACCCTGTCTGTAAATGCCCAGAAGTCCAGGGCTGCAAGGAACAGGGGGCCCGCCCTTCCCCAAGACCCCTCAGTTCTATTCTGATGGACTTCTGATGCTCAGGGGGGAGAGAATAACAAGCATCTCCCACAGGGACAGCCGCCTCCATCTTAACCCTCGTCACCCCCACCCCACCCCCCGGGGCAGCAGGGTGACTTCCTAAAAGGCAAATCTGGTGTCTCTCCCCAGCTTGAACCTCCCCCATGGCTCCCCAGTGCCCAACGCCCAGGGCGCTGGGGGCCCCCGGTGGTCTGGCCTCCGTTCCTCTCTCCTGCCTCCCCTCCTCCTTCCCTCTCCTCCTCTCCACCTGCCAAACCCCCGCTCATCCTCAAGGCCCACTGCAAACCTCACCCACCCTCTCCGGGCAGGCACCTGCCCCCTCGGTTGTATTCTGAGCTCCCAGATCCTTCCAGGAGCTCATGGAGGGGTTTTGGCACTTGTCACCCAGGTCTAGGTGTCCCCGGGGGGGGGGGGGGCTTGTCTGGCATCTGGCCCAGCACCATCCAAGAGAACGTTCTGTAATGATGTTTCCAGAATGTTCTAGAATCTGCTCTATCCAATACGGGAATACGGGAGCCTCCAGTGACACATGTGGTTCTTGAGCATTTGAGGTGCGGCCAGGGCCACCGAGGAAGGGACTTTCCATTTTTACTTCACTGCAATTAATGTACATGTGAAAAGCCACCCGTGTCGTGGGCAGCACAGGGCTGGGCACCCCTGGGGTGGGCTGGGCAGCCCCCAGGAGGCTGGAGCAGAGTTTGGGGCCTGAGGGGGTGTCCCATGAGTTGACAGATGTGACAACAGATGCCGGCACCCTGGGCAACGGTGGGTGGCTTGGCTCATTTGCCGTCCTGCTGTGCCTCTGGGCAGGGCCGTGTCTGTGCCCTGTGCCACAGCTGCAGCCCCGTGTCAGGCCTGCGCAGAGCACGGGCCCCACAGACCCTGCCCAATGCGTCCCCAAGGCCACCCGGAGGCCAGGCAGCCCGGGCCAGACAGACAGTGACCCAGAGAGGCCCTCCCTCACCCTCCCTGCCATCCAGGCCATTCCGGGCTCCCTGCTCCCTGGCCAGCAGATCCCCCCACCCCCGCCCCCGGCTCCAGAGCCCAATAGTCCTGGAGTGGGCACTGGGCCGCGAGAGAGCCTGGGGTGGGGCTGCCTCCAGAGCAGGCACTCCAGGACAGGCCGGGACATTTGAAATGCTCACATGGGGGAGAGAGACTCCTTACCACCTGCCAGCTCAGGGCGCCCGAGCTGGCACAGTCGGCCCCTCTCGACCCCCACCATTGGTGTCCATGACGCTTTACAAGGGTCCAGGCCATTGATGGGGGTCCTCATACGGGGACAAGCACAGTTTGGGGCATGAACAAGGGGCACATCTGTGGGGAAGCCCCAGCGGAGGAAGGAAGGTCCATGCCAGCAGGGGACCGGGGTGCGCAGGCCGTGGTACAGGTCATGTGAGGGGCTCCCTCCAGTGTGGCCCGAGGGCCTGTGTGTGAGGACTGGCTCCTGCAGACCCTGATCTCGCCACACGCCCCTCCATGAAGCCCACCTGCTCTCCTCAAACTCGAGGTCTTCTCCCAGGGCCTCCGTGTAAAGTTGCACAGGTTGTATCCCATACAAAGACTGCGCGGGTGTGAGAGCCGGTTCCAGCCCCCCAGACAAGCTTTGGCCCCCAGCTTGGGGCTGTGTCAGCCTGGAGGAAAAGGGAGGTTTATTTTTGCCAGGAGTCATAACGCCCAGCCAGCACACTTTTTTTTTTTTTTTTTAGGAAGATTAGCCCTCAGCTAACATCTGCTGCCAATAATCCTCTTTTTGCTGAGGAAGACTGGCCCTGAGCTAACATCCATGCCCATCTTCCTCTACTTTATATGTGGGACGCCTACCACAGCATGGCTTTTGCCAAGCAGTGCCATGTCCGCACCCGGGATCCGAACCGGTGAACCCCAGGCCACCGAAGCGGAACATGCGAATTTAACCGCTGCGCCACTGGGCTGGCCCCAAGCCACCCAGAGGAGCACCTTTTTCTAATTCATACAAAGGCTCTGGACATGCCGGCAGGCTTCTGTCCTCCCCACTCTTTCCCTAGGCCATTCCTGGACTCCTTCGGAAACACCCTCTTTCAGTCACGAAACCTTCAGTGAAAAAAAACCCAGAAAACTGACTCACGGGCTAAACAACAAGGCCATTAGTTATGATAAGAAATAAGAAGCCCTGAAGAGGGGAGTTTCCAGAGTTGGTTGATTCCGACAATAGCTGGGAAAGGACCCTGGAACTTCCCCGACTCCTCACTCTGCTACCCTTATTGAGTGAGCTTTGCACTCAGACTGAGCCCCTCAGAGACACAACATGGCTGCCAGGGTCCAGACATCACATCTCCCCAATATTATCTAAACTAGGCTTCTCGGTATCATGTTTTTAAATGCATAAGACAAAATACCTAGGATTACAAGGAAATCGGTCACACTGAAGTTGTCCACTTTGTTTAATTGTGATGTGTTAATATATGTGCTTCTTATTAATACATTAAATAAAAATACCCAGTGGTGGATTTAAGAACTACCGTGATGTGAGTCTGAACGATATTCTGAAATTTCTGCAATAAAGGTAGTAGGGTCTGAAGCCACCAGTGATGCATTTGTGACAAAGCCACCGGCCCTCCTGGGGTTCGTTGCTCACATTCACAAAGGAGGGAAATGCTAGATCCAGTTAGTGGCGATCAGGACGTGACTGTTGTCTCCTCCGAGTTCACAGACTCCAGGCTCCTTGATTCCAGCAGCTCTTTGCCGAGGGCTGTTTTTGCACGTGGACAAGGAAACAGTCCTCGAGGGGGGCGGTGGGGCGGTGGGGCAGCACACGGCCGCCCGGGTTGAGGCCCTTGTCCATCCTCTAACTTCCTTTCTCTCTCAAGCCTCAATGTCATCATCTGTAAAATGGGTACAATACTGCCCACCTCACGGGCTTGTGGGGGAAGTTCTGAAAAGGCAATGCGTCCGCTGGAGCCAGCAGAGGAGGAGGAGTTCAGGGACCAGCTGGAGACCAACGCGGGGTGCCGGGGAGGGGAGAGGGTGTTGGAGAGGTCAGCTTCTGCAGGGCTGAGCTCAGGGGTTTCTCCTGAGAGCACTAGGGAGCCATGGAAGGTTCGAGCAGGAGAGGGACATGCTCCAGTTGCCGTCTGGTGGAAGAGGGATGGGAGGGGCGGCCTGGGGCTGAGATGGGGGGAAGAGAGAGGTGTGGACAGGACGGGACGGGACGGAGTGCAGGAGGCTGACTCAGCATGGGGGGCAGGGCCTGGGAGCCCCAGATTCTGAGGGCCACGAGGGCAGCAGGCCCAGAAGACGTGTGCAGTGTGCAGAAGGCAGTTTCTGTTTCGGGGGAAGAATTTTGACACCATCTGTGGTTTTGGGGGGGGGGGCAGGAGGCATGATCAGGGCCAGATAGGCCCCGGGGGGCCACAAGCCTGCTGAGATCAAGGCCAACAGTTGCCTCGAGGAGCGCCCCTCCCCCAGCCCCAGGCTCCCCGCACGGGGCCAGACCTCACCATCCCATCTGCCTCCCACGGTCCCCCCCAGCTCCCGCTGCATCCCCCCGACCCCACGAGGCCACGGGGGAGCAGGAAGGCAGCTGGTGGGAGGTTGGGGTGCAGAGACCGGGGACTGCCCGCAGGGTCCACTTCCCGCTCCAGCTGCAGCTGGCCCTTGGCAGGGGTCACAGAGGGGCCAGGGGACTGCGGTGTCCCCATTGGGGACTCTGGGGTTTTTTTTTGTAAAACCAACGCAAGGCAAAATCCTAAGAGGGGAGTGCCTTAGAAGCTGCTGCCCTCCGGGCACTCCAGGGCTGGACACGGTGAGGGCGCCACTGGGGGTGAAGTCTCTCCCTTTTTCATCCCCAAGTCGTCAGCGTCACTCAGGAGCCAAGCTCGGAGCACCCCTGGAGTTCAGAGGAACGATGCACCCCCCCACCCCCACCATCTGAGGTGCCGTCCAGCCCTGGGCGGGAGGGTCTCCATCCACCGTCAGCTGGGCCTCTCCAAGGAAGACATTGGGGCTCAGAGAGGTGCATTTCTTGCTCACGGATGCCCAGCTATTCAGGGTGGCCCTGGGGCGGAGCTGGGGCCTCAAATCCGTGCTCCGTGAGGAGACCTCACTCACCTGCTGCCAGTGCCTCAGTTTCCCCTCTGTTCCTGGGTGAGTGGTGCTCCGGGAGCTCCCCCCAGGCTCCATATATGAGCGTCCTGTAGCTGCCGTAACAAATCAGGTCCTTTCAAATAAGGTCACGTTCTGAGGTTGCGGTAGACGTGAACTCTGGGGGTCACAGTTCAACCCAGTCCAGCGAGGTGTGGCCTCGCATGGCCCGGGTGCCCCTTCCACTCTGCAGGCCCTCGGACGGACCCCCGGCAGCATCCCCGCCATTTGTGAGCCCCTCACGGTAAGGACCCTGCCATCGTGGTTGCCGTTGTGACTGCGTGCCCCGTCCATCCAGGGCCTGGCTTGTCAAATTCCGTGTGACCGTGCCATCACACGAGGGCCACAGGTGACTCTCATGGACAGGAAAGAGCACTTGCTGTGTGAGTCCACTTACCTGACGTCCCGGAGGGGTCAGGCTGGTCCAGGGGGACAGCAGCCAAGTGACCTCTGGGGAGATGCTGGCCGGGGAGGGCTTGAGGGGGCGTCCAGGGCTGGAAATGTTCTAATCCAGCCACGGCCGTAACTTCAAATGTCCCAGCAGCCTCATTAACAGAGTAAAAAATAAACAAGGGAAACCAATATTAATAATACACTTTATTTAATCCCTTAGCATGTCCAAAACATGATCATTTCAACATGCAATCAATATAAAAATTCCTGAGAAATTTGAGGTCCCCCCTAAACTAAGCCATCTGGGGCCACCTCCGCTGGGCCGAGCCACACCTGGCGGGCCCCCACCACGTGGCCGCCTGGGCTCCGCGGGCCGATGTCCCGGCCCAGACACACGTCTCGACACACAGGGAGTCACGTTGCCCCGGTGACCCCGGCTTGGCCCTCAGCACCTCCCTTTCAGGTGAGTGCGGAGAGATGGGGCCCGGAGGCCCTGGAGACGACATGGTGGCCTCTCCCGCCCAGGTCATCCTGGGGGAAGCCGCCCTCCCCAGGGCCCCTTATCTCCCTCCTCTGTGGCAGGCGGCCCATTGTCTGGGAAGGCAGGGCAGGGGGAGGGGAGGAGGCCTGCCCCGAGGGCACCCCAGGCCCCACCCGCCCTTTCCAGCCCCCCCACTGGAGGCCTAGGTGCCTGCAAACCTGGAAACCACAGGCCCCCTCCTGGGGCAGCAATCCTACCTGGATGGACAGGGGGGTGGGTCCCGTGAAAGTGAAAGGAAGCGTGCTCTTGACACAGTGTGCCCTTGGCAGGAGTTTCCAAGATAAAGCGAGGAACAGAGAAAACCTCTTCCTTCCTCTCCCCTTTGCCCCTTCCTTCCTTTTCCTTCTGGAACAATTCAGCCCTAAAGCTGTCAGCTGGGGCCCTCGGACGGACCCCCGGCAGCATCCCCGCCATGGAGCAAGGTGGGCCCCGCGCAGAGGGGGGAGCCACGGTGGCTGTGAGCAGGGTCAGGGCCGAGGGCCCAGTGGGTGATGAGGCCCCCCCGGGGGGTGTGCGGGCATCGGGGGGGCCGGCTCCAGGAGTCAGCCCGGGAGAGAGCTCAGGTGGGGTCGGGGAGCGCGTCTAGGCGGGAGAGGTGAGGGGCGCCCCCACGGAGGCAGCAGCGAGGCTGAGCAGGACAGGAGGGTGTCCCCAGGGCGATGGGATGACAGCAGACTGAGAAACTTAGCAGGTACGTGAGGACCAGGGCAGCCAGGTGCTCACTGGCCGAGGGGGCGGTTGTACATATGGAAAGAGGGGAGGATGGAGTGAGCCATCACTGTCAACCTCTCGCCTTCAATTTATAGAACTAGATACAGGAGTTAGTCGAGATGTATAGTCATGCGCTGCATCACAACGTTTTAGTCAACGACAGACCACATAGATGACGGAGGTCCCATAAGATCGGTACCATGCAGCCCAGCTGTGTCGCGGGCTGTCCCATCTGGGTTTGTGCAGATGCGCTCTGTGATGTTCCCACAACGACGGAATAGCCTAACGATGCCTTTCTCAGAACGCATCCCTGTCGTTAATTGATGCATGACTGTACAGAAATACGTTGCGCGTGGTGTGAACACACACGTACTTCCTAGCTCTGTCCCCGGAGGGTCCTGGGAGCAGCCACACCTCATGCCTACATACCCCTTTCTCCACTAAAGCGGTCAGGGCTCCCGGGAGGAATAAGTGATTCCAGGGCTGGGACATCTTCTTGTGCACAAGAACCACGAGGTCACATCAAAGGGATACGGGTTTCTCCGAAGAAGATGCACGAATGGTCAACAAGCACGTGGGAGGATGCTGGATGCCCTTTGTCATTTGGGAAATGCAAATCAAAACCACGGTGAGATACCACCTCACGCCCATGAGAGAGACCAAAAATAACAAAGAAAAGGAAAAGAAGAATTGTTGCTGAGGACAGGGAGAAATTGCAGCCCTCCCACATTGCTGGTGAGGATGCACAATGGTGCAGACGCTGTAGAAACGTTCTGAGGTTCTTCAAGTTAAAAACATCAAATGCCGGTATGACTCAGCAATTCCTCTCCTGGGTACACACCCGGGAGAACTGAAAACAGGGGTCCTAACAAAAACTTGGACATGAGCAGCACGGATGCTCACAACAGCCCAAAGGTGAAGACAGGATGAAACGATAAACAAAATGTGTCACATGCACACACTGGAATATTACACAGCCATGAAAAGGGATAACTACTGACCCACGCTCCACTGTGGATGGACTGCAAAAACAGGATGCTAAGTGAAAGAAACCAGACACAAAAGGCCAAATATTGTATGATTCCATTTATATGAAACATCTAGAATAGGTAAAGCTGTAGAGATCAAAAGCTGACTGTGGTTCCCAGGGACAGAGACGGAGAATGGAGATGCGTAACAGGTATGGGGGCTCCTTTGGGGGCGATGAAATGTCTTGGGACTAGATGGAGATGGTTGCACAGCACTGTGAATACACTAAAACCCCCCGAATTTTCACTTTAAAATGGTTAATTTCATGTGATGTGAATTTCACTTAATTTTTTAAAAGGACGTGGGAGGGCTGGCCCAGTGGCGCCGTGGTTAAGTGTGCACGTTCCACTTCGACAGCCCAGGGTTTGCCAGTTCAGATCCCAGGTGCGGACATGGCATCGCTTGTCAAGCCATGCTGTGGTAGGCATCCCACATAGAAAGTGGAGGAAGATGGGTACAGATGTTAGCTCAGGGCCAGTCTTCCTCAGCAAAAAAAAAAAAAAAAAACGGGAGGATTGACAGCAGATGTTAGCTCAGGGCTGATCTTCCTCAAGAAAAAAAAGAAACGTGCAGTTGATTACATGTCAACTTGACCTCAATAAAGCCGTGAAAAAGACAACGGAACGTGTCCCAAGGACACAGCTAGGAGGCGCTCCCACTGGCCAAATCTGAGACAATTTTAGCATCCAAAAAAAATTATTATAGTAACAGATTGAATAAAATAGGAAAATATGATTCCATAGAGATATAAATACACGAAGAAGGGGAAAGTTTGATAAGGAACGTGTCATTTTACAAGATAGCCCCTCCCCCAAAGATTATTTACTGAGGGGAAAAGAGTCGCTTTCTAGGGAGAAAACCCAGCAGACGCCCCCTCATCGAGTGATCAGAGTGGCCGTCATCAGGAACTGGATACACTGAGAACCCAGCGTCACCTCTGTGACAGTCCCACCAAGGAGGCAAAATCTGAAGGAAATCATAAAAGGAGTCAGACGAACCCAAACCGGGGAATTTCTACCTGGACCTATAACTGGTCTGCGATCTTGGAAAGTGTCAAGGTCACGAAAGCTGAGGATGGGCTGAAGAAGACGTTCAGACTCGAGCCGACTAAGGAGACGTGATAACTAAACACGACCCGTGGCAGGATCTTTTTGCCACAAAGGACATTTTTGGGTCCGACCATGAAACTCGAATGCAGTCTGTTAGGTGTAATGTATCGTTACAGAGTAACGAGTTACATTCCTGATTCCAGTGGTTGTACTGTGGTTATTTACATAGAAGAATGAACCTGTTTGAAGGGAATATAAGGGGCGATGGGCCATCAGGTTGGCAACTTACATTTTTTCAAGAAAAAAAATTATCTTGACTTGTACTAGCCTTTTTTTTTTTTTGAGGAAGATTAGCCCTGAGCTAACATCTGCCAATCCCCTTTTTTTTTTTTTTTTTTTTTTTTGCTGAGGAAGACTGGCCCTGAGCTAGCATCCGTGCCCATTTTCCTCTACTTTATATGTGGGACGCCTACCACAGAATGGCTTGCCAAGCAGTGCCATGTCCGCACCCGGGATCCGAACCAGCGAAACCCAGGCCGCCGAAGCGGAACGTGCGAACTTAACCGCTGTGCTACCGGGCCGGCCCCGTACTAGCAATTTAAAGCTGCAATTGTTTCTAAATTTAAAAATAAATTAGAGAGACATTTTGGGTCGCAGAAGCTACTCAGGAAACAGTGTAGGGGAGCCGGGGGTCCGCTGGAGAGGTGCGTGCTGTGGGCAGGTGCCCCTTAGGAAGGCTGCTCCTGGCTGCAGGAGGCCGGGCAGGACGCCAGGGGGCAGAGGGTGGTACCCGGGCACAGACGGACCCTGGACGTGGCAGGAGGGTTGGGATTCCCGTGTTCTGCAGGGAGAGTGGAAAGGCCCCAGCCACCAGCCAGGGACGTGGAGACGGCTGGAGGAGGCTCCATCCAGGAGGACAGGGCCACTGACTGCGGGACGGGCGAGGGGACAGCCCCCGTCCCTCAGGATGCAATGGAAAAACTCCCACCTGGAGATGGGCCACAGGCTTCAAGCCTGCACCCAGGGGTCCCGGCCAGTGTTCCCACACTGGCCCACCCTCTCCCAGAGCCTCTGAAGCAGTGCGGGGTGCTTCTGGGAATTCCCGGGAATGCCCATTCCCCTCCTGGTCCTTGCCGGGCCCCGCGAGGCTCCGTCCCCATCCTCCCACTTCGCACTGCCCCCTGCCCTCTACCCCCTGTCCTCAAGCCCGGATGTCACCTCCTTCCCACGCTGCCCCGCCCTCCAGGCTCAGGGCCATCCCACAGCCCAAGACCCACTGGCCCACCAGCCCCTTGAGCCGGACGCAAATGCCCCTGCAGGACCCCACTGGGCAGGTCCCCTGCGACAGCTCTGCGGCTGCTCCGTGGACCTTGGCCCCTTGGTCTTCACAGCACGCAAAGGGCACCGCATGTCCACCCCTCCCGTGTGCCGCCTCCTGGGTGCCTGGCACCCGGCAGGGGCCCATTTAATCCTCACAGCCATTATCATCCCATTTTACAGGTAAGGAATGCAAAGCGGGTGGAGGCAAAGGGTGCCTGGGAGTGGAGGTGGGAACAAAGCCTGTAGAGCTCTCTAAACACCCCAGCCAAGGTTTCTTCCTAAAATCCCCTCCTCCAGCCTGCAGGCCGGGCGCCTGCCTGGGGACACCCTTCTCTCAGCCTGAAGATCCTTCCCTGACTTGGCCGTTGGGTCTCGGGTGTGTGTAGGGGAATGTGGTGGCGGAGGAGGAGCGAATGATTACACCACCCACAGGCTTCTCCCTCTCTTCCCATCCCTCATTATTGTTTCTAGGCTACCAGGCTGCTGTGTGACTTGAGGCAGGTTACCTACCCTCTCTGAGCCTCAGTTTTGTCATCTGTAACAGCTTCAAAATCAAGTAACTCATAATCAAGTCAGTCCACTCACCCTCAACCCCAGCACTACGGGCAAGGAGGGGAAATGGAGGAACGAGGGGGACCCGGAGGTTCCATCCCTGGGAAGGGGGAGCCCCGGGGGCGGGGTCTGGGTCGGGAGATCCCCGGTTCCCTCTCCCGCAACCCAACCGAGGCCTCGGCAGCGCAGGCCCCCAGGCCTGAGCCAGCGCGTTTGGGGCTCCCAACAACCTCGACCGCGATTACTATTACAGCCGCTACGTGGGGGCGGGGCCCTGCTAGGTCGGAGCGCGCAGGCGCGGAGGCGCGCCGAGCCGGTCCCGCTCTTTGTGCCGGCGAGGGGGCGTGGCCTCGCGGAGATGGACCAATCCGGGGAGGCCCCGGTTCCGCGCAGCCAATGGCGGGAAGTGGGCGGGGCCTGCAGGGGAGCGGGGGCGGGGTCGCCGCGGGCAGCGGGTTGGGGGGCTTTTGGGGCCCGGCTGGAGCAGGGGTCGCCGCGGGGCGAAGGGGCCTGGGGCCAGCGGTGGGGATCGCAGCGAGCAGAGCCCCGCCAGCCAGGGGACGCCCCCAACCGTGGGCGCGGCTGGGAGGGGGGCGCCCGTGGCCACGCCCTGGTCGCCCGGCTGAGGCCGCAGATGCCCCACGTCCCTCCTCCCTTTGCGACCCCTGCTCCGCGCTGACGTCCCTCACCCGCCGTGGCCAGGACGGCGGCTTCCACTCAACTCCTGTGCCCGGGACAACCCCATTCCCCTCCCCAAGCCAGGCCACAATCATTGCCCCAAGGATGGGCAGATGGGCAGGCGATCTAAGTTGCCCAGTGGGGAGCAACCTCAGGGCTCTTTGTAGCCATGCTGGACCACAACCCTGCTCTCTACACCAAGTCAGTGTGGTCTTATGGAGGGGGCACCTGGACCCGTAGCCACAGAGGAAAAGGGGATTCCCAAACTCTCAGATCTGGGGGCCTCTGCCCAGCAGCAGGCGGGGGTAGCCACAGTGTCCCCTCCACCCTGCTCTTTGCCTAACTGGGAATGCAGGGGCCCAGAGAGGGGCCAGGCTTTCCTGGAATCACCCAGCACCCCAGGGCAGAGCTGGGGGCAGTGGCAGCTCCAAGTCCTTCTCAACCTGTTGTCATTACTCTCCCGGGATCCCTGAGGCAGGTGGACCAGAGTGGGGCAATGGGAGGGGTGGGGATGAAATGGAGAGGGTGTCTTGGGTATACATTTGGAGATAAAACCCATCTTGGGGGTGGAGGAGACAGCCCAAGCTGGAGGATGTGGTCCAAAGCCCTTTAGCTAAGGAAACTGAGGTCAGAAGGGGTGAAAATCACCCGAAAAGTGGAAATGAGGCCCGAGAAGGGTGCGCCTGAGGAGGAGTGATTTCTCCAGCAGCTTCTCTTTGCCTGGCTATTTACATTCAACGAAGGGCTCAGACTGGGGGACGTTACAGGTTAACTTGCGCATCTGATACGAAGACAACACCCAGGTTACTCTCGATTGCCCCAAAGAACATTAAGTCAGGGTTTCAGGTTGTTTTTTCTTTTTAAAGCAAATTTAGGAATCTTATCCTAGCATTTCTTAATAGACTCTATAAACCCCCCCCCCAGTTCCTCAAATGCTCTTTGTGTCAATTTCACCATCTCACTGTCGCCTCATTAATGAGGGAGTTGAAGTAAACCTTTGACAAATGTTCATTGTCTAATTGTCTGAGACTCACGATTTCAGCATCTTGAAAATGAGACTTTGGTACCTGTGTCCCAGCACCGGCCCTTCCACCGCCCCGACCTTGATCAAGTCTGGGTGGGGTCTCCCTCGATGCTGACCTCCCCCCCCCACACACACACACACACTGCCCCCAGGTCAGAGTCACTGCCCGGCCCACTCTAATTTTTTTTTTTTTTTTTTTTGAGGAAGATTAGCCCTGAGTTAATTGCTGCCAATCCTCCTCTTTTTTTGCTGAGGAAGACTGGCCCTGAGCTAACATCCATGCCCATCTTCCTCTACTTTATACGTGGGACGCCTACCACAACACGGCGTGCCAAGTGGTGCCATGTCCACACCAGGGATCCAAACCCGCGAACCCTGGACCGGCGAGAAGCGGAATGTGTGAACTTAACCGCTGCGTCACTGGGCCGGCCCGGGGCCCACTCTAGCATCGTCTTACCTATGCCTTTCTGACTCAAGGAGATCAGAGGTCACTCCTGTTCCAGCACCCCACAGACACAGTTCCCTGCCCTCGCCCTGCCAGGCATGTCCGGCTGCCATGGGCACCCAGGTTCAGGCTGAGGTCCCAGGTTTTGTTTCAAGGGCCCTGGGGAGCTATGGATGATGTTAGGTTGGGAGAAAACAGGCGGGCCCGCTGTATCCCCAGGCTGGGCACAGCCCACGGTATTTGTCACTGCACCCCTGTCTATGCCACTTGCCAAACTCCACCCTCTTACTCACCGGGATGTACTCCTGCTATGTACTCATTGGGACCAGTTCCACCTCCCAGCCTAGATACTCCCTCCCCTCCCAATTCTGCCCACCTTTCAAGGTCCCGCTGAGACCTCCCCGCTCTGAGAAGCACCCCATCCAGTTCTCTTCCCTCCAACCCAGTCAGGACGGGGTTCTCGGACCCCTGCTGTGGACCCCTAACTCGGAGGGATGCTGTGGCCCCTCTCGGCCTATGAGGGTAGCCCAGCTGTAATTTGACCATATAAATGTATAACGATTGCTGGTTATTAATTAAATTTGTATTGATTCCTATTTTGCCTTTTTGGAACCCAGTACCTTTTTTGGGGGTGGGGGAGGCAAGGGGCTTCTAAATGGGTCTGGGGTGGGCTTCGGGGGGCCGGGGGGTGGGACCTGGGCCAGGACCAGGGAGCCCAGCCCGCTCCGCTCGGCAGGCGCGTGTCGAGCACCACCTGGCGGCCGCCAGGAGCCCCGCAGCCCAATCGGGCGGTGGGAGGCGGAGCGGAGTCTCCCGGGGCTGCGCAGTCCTGGGTGGGGTCCTTCCCTCTCCCGCCCGGAGGAGGGAACAGGCAGTAGCTTTTGTCTTGGTGGTCGTGCACGGCTTCCCTAAGGAGGCAGGCTGGAGCTGGGCCATGCAGGACACATTCATTCTCAGTCCAGCCCCCCCCGGGGTGCAGGGGCCCGAGCCTGGTCTCGCCCTTAATTAGGTGAATTCTGCACACAGCACCAGCAAGTCTCCCTTCTTGGGGTCTTTATACCCATTTTATGCATTGGAAAAAGGAGGCTCTATTCTTGGAATATTGGCGCCACTGCCCTGGTCCAGGGCTCAGACGTTCATTCAAGCCTGCCCCAGCCTGGGGCGGGGGTTGGGGGTTGGGGCGTTGCTCCCGCACCCCTCCCCCGCCAAATGCCCAGTCTGCCACCAAGGAGTTTATGATCATCCTTGAAGCCCTGCTTATTGAATGAGTCCCTTTATTTAGAGGAAGGCAGTTAGTCTGGGAGAGGGCCTGACCCGGCTGGGTCATTCAGGGAGTCCAGAGGGGGCGAACTCTGCTGGCCCAGCCCCCCGACTAAGTCCTGGGTCCTGGGATTGAAAACAGAGCCAGCCCCGCCCCCCAATAAATCCTCCGGCAGCAACCCCCCGCCACTCACCCCCTGCAGGTGCCTGCTCCGGCCAGGAGGGGGTGGGGTGGAGAACTCGAGGGTGGGTGTGCCCCGCGGTCAGTTCCAGCAAAGGGGTGGGGGCGTTGCCCGCGCAGCGCCCCCTCCCCAGTCCGTTTGGAGCATCCCTCCCACCCACTCCCAGCTCCCAGGAATTCCGCTGAGTCACTTCCGAGGCGGCAGCTGCAACCACTGTGAGAACAATAAGTCATTCAATTCACCAGGCAGCGGCCCAGCGCTCACCTGGGAGACCGGCCACTGCCTTGTCTAAACGCGTCTTCGTGGCCACCGAGGCCAACCCACCTCATCCTCTGCCGTTCTCCCGCAGCCACCCCAGTGGTCACGCAGGCTCCCCCCCTCAGGGCCTTTGCACTAACTATGCCCTCTGCCTTGCACACTCTTCCCCCGGGGCACCTGTCGTCTGTGCATCTTCCCCACGGCCACTGCCAAGGCCTGTGCTCCGGAGGGGGTGTGTCAGGGAAGAGCGAGGGGTCATCTGCGAGCCTGACCCGCAGACACTCGGATGGGCACTTAGATTGGCAGAGATGTGCCGGTGCAGACTGCATACGGGGAGCGCCACGTGCTGCATGGTGCAAGCAGACAGGTGTGTGCGCCGGTCTGTGTGACCGTGCGACCGTGCGCGAGGCCGTCCGTGGGCAGCGTGGGGACAGGCGCGCCGAGCGTGCATCCCGCGAGCTCCCCAGCCGCCCGGATGTCGGTTTCGCAGCTATTGTCTCCCAGCCCCAAGCCCACCCTTTTGGGCGAGGCTCCGGCTGAGGGCTGCAAACTACAACTCCCAGAATCCCCGGTCGCCCCAGCATTCCTGCCAGGCTCGGCCAATGGGAGGCGGCGGGGCAATTAACCTGTCGGGTGCCGTGGACCGGTGTGGACGCGTCTGGCATCCGAGGATACTGAGGGACTCCCCCTACCCCCCGCCCCGGAATCATGCTTTTTAAAAAATTTAAGCCTTAAGTTGTGTGTTTGTTGCATCCTGTATGTCTTAAATTGTGGTAAAATACACATCACATAAAATTGGCCATCTTCACCCATTTTAAGCGTACCGTTCAGCGGTGTTAAGTGCGTTCGCACTGTTGCGAAACTGCTGCCCAGAACTTTTTCATCTTGCAAATCGGAAACTCTACACCCATTAAATTCCCCTTTTCACCCTCCCCCGGCCCCTGGTAACCACCACCCTTGGACTTTCTGTTTCTATGAATCTACTTTCCATATCACATGAAAGTGCAATCCTACAGTATTTGTCCTTTTGTGACTGACTTGTGGACTCAGCACAATGTCCCCCAAGTTCATCCACCTCCTAGCACGTGTCAGAATTCCCTTCCTTTTAAAGGCAAACCCTACTTCCGGTACCTGTGAAGCACATTTTTTTTACCCATTCATCCATCAACAGACGCGTGATCAGAATCTCGCTGGTAAAAACGTAAAATAAAATGCATAGAATTACAAAGGAGACTAATTATATTGATCACAGTTGTCAACAAGTTGAAAGAACAAACGTGTGATACGGTAACAAACACATGCATTTCTCTATTTTTTATTTTATTTTATTTTATTGAGGAAGACTACCCCTTACCTAACATCTGCCAATCCTCTTTTTGTTTTTTTTCTGCAGAGGAAGACTGGCCCTGAGCTAACACCCGTGCCCATCTTCCTCTATTTTATATGTGGGACGCCTGCTACAGCATGGCTTGCTTGCAAAGCGGTGCCATGTCCGCACCTGGGATCCAAACTGGGGAACCCTGGGCCCGCCAAAGCAGAACGTCCACACTTAACAGCTGTACCACCCAGCCGGCCCCCTGCATTTCTTTATTAATGCATTAAATAAGTAGCGTATCTCCAGCCTAGGAACTCTAGTTATGGGGACTCCAGTCAGGTTTCTGCCCATCAGACCTTGAATTTTCCAATCTTATAGCTCAAGGGTACATCAGTGTGTGGCCCACCTATTCTCTTCTCTCCTAAGACCACCACGATCAATTAGCCTCCATCAAAAATTCCTGCAGGTCAGAACTTAGCGGAAACAGCTCCACCTCTGTAGAATTTGCCCACCTTGTCTCTAGGGCCGAAAGGGTTGCTGCTCAGCCTCTGCCATCCAGGGTGGCATCAGGCCGCTGAGATGAGGGACCCACGGCAGTGGAGCGTTGCATGAGAAATCGCTCCCTTCAGATTCTTCCTCCAGAGACGCCGGGGAAGTTCTGCCACGCCTGCCTCACTGCATGGAGGCCACCGATGGGTTGAGACCTCCGACAACAGACCAAACCAGCTGCACCGGCTGACACATGACATTCTGACTCTGGGGGATGCACGCTCATGCCCACAAACCCAGCCCAATCCAGTGGCACCGTGGCACCCCCAGCGCCCGTCTCCAGTTAGGGCCCCTAGCTTCCTGCTGAGGGAAATCAGCAACAGTTGTCTTGCTGTTGGAATATAAGCCATTTCCTCCAGGGTCAACCTTGACCTCTGACCCCTGGGGCATGCTGAGCTCTGACTCTGGTTGAAGGCCACTAGGGGTGGGGGGGGCGGGAGCCCACAAGAGGGTCCCTTCAGGTGAGGGTGTTACAGCATCATCTTCCACCCGGATTCTCGGCTCCACCTGCATCCGCCTGGATGTCTGGACACAGGGCGCCCAGGTCTGCAGTGAGGTCACGCGCACGGGACATGGGAGGTGAGGGAGATGGGTGCCATGCATAGGGGTGCCAACAATGGGCTGGGCCGCACAGGGAGAATGCAGCCAGCCCCTGATGCATTTTGCCAGGGACAAGAATGTCATCACTAGAGGGCACCCGAGAGGAGCCCCGTGCAGCTGGTCCTGCCCCAGCCATCTGTCCCTTGCTGCTCTCGGCACCCCGCCCTTCTCTGGGCCCCACCCCTCCTTCCTTACTCCCTCGGCTCCCTTTCACTTGGGCTGCTTCATGCCCCCTACTGAATGCTCTGTTGGCCCCCCCACGCCTGTCAATCTCTCTCTTGCTCCCCCCCTCCCTCCCCCTGCCCCTGCCCCTCAAAGCTGGGTCACCTTGGCCTAACCGCTTAACCTCGCTGCAGCTGGGGGTCCTCATTCCCCATCAGGGCCACGGAGGGGGGGACGGTGCCCACACAGCGGGGCTCGTGAACAGGAGGGAAGGCTGCCTACTCTCCTTCGCTTTCTCTTTCTCTTTCTCTTCCCTCTCCTTTCCCAGATGCCCTTTCTTAACCCACCCTCCTTCCTTCCTTCCTGCTGGTCACGATGCCCACAGCCCCCCTGAGGCTCTCTGGGCCTTCCTCCCTCAACAGTGCTCCGGGGGCAGGGCTCTAGGCCTGACCAGCTGGCACCCGCCACCCCAGGGTGTCCTCTCTGCCCACAGAAGCTGCTCAAGCATCCGGCCACCTGGAATCTGAGGCCAGGTGACCTGCCGGCCTGTGTCCTGCTGGCTATGCTAGCCCTGAGCCTCCTCACCTGGAGTGACCCTGGCCCCGGGGACAGGACAGTCCGGACAGGACAGGACAGGCAGGGGCAGGGGGTTGGCTGGCCCCATTTGTCAGAAACTCAAGCCATCCCAGCAAGGCCACGCAAGGCCATTGGCCTAAGGGAGCCGTCGCCCGAAGACCCTCCCACCCTGGCCCCCCACCCCCGCAAGTCCTCCCTTCTCCCAGCGGAGCTGAGGAAAAGGGGAGCCCCACACCAGACCCCTTTTTCGAGCACCTACTGTGTGCCTGGGGCACATGCTTGGCACTTTGCAGGCACCATCTCATACAATTCTAACAAACTTGCCCCAAAGGGATTATTGATTGGCCCACTGTACAGAAGAAACCGAGGGTCAAAGAGGTTGCCTCCATGTCCAGCTCTCGGCTCTTGTGCTTTCCCCCGCTCCTTTTTGAGAAGTGTGAACTACTTCAACCATACAGAAAAGATCAGGGAGGAAGACAACACACCCCCAGACCCAATGATTACTTCACCATATTTTGTTCAGCTCTGTTTTCCCAAAGAAATACATGCTGTTGGACTCAGTGGACCTCACCCTTCCCACTTCTCCCTGTGCCCCTCCCACCTCCAAGAGGGACCTGCTTGGCCCCTTCCCACCGGTGGTGTTTCCAGGCCTTTCCACTGACAGGGAAGTCCTTAGACAATCGACCGATGGGAGTGTCCTGGGCGCGCGTTCTGTTCTTCTTCTTTTTTTTTTTTTTACAACTCTGTATTTCTGTATTTGGGTACAATTTACCTACAGCCGAGGTCACCAACCTGGAGTGTACCGCTGCATCCTGAGCGCACAGCCAAGGGGCCACCACCCTAATTAGCACACAGAACATTTGCAGGAGGGCTCCCCACCCCCCCCCCATTACTGCCCCCTCCAGATAACCACCATCCTCACGGCTGCCTCGAAGGGGCCCCTGCACCAGACTGGGGGAGGGTGTTCGCATCCCGGGCGCCCCCTCCCGCCGCTGTGCAGGCCTCCACCCCACCCTGGCCCTGCCGACAAGTATGGGGGCTCCACCGCGCGCTCTTACACTTGACAGATCGGACCTGGCCGCAGGGCACTTGTCTCCCCAGGGGACCTCGCTGAGATTTATCTGGGCGGCCACCGAGGCCTCCTTCTCGGCATCTTCTGGAGGCCGCCCTCGAGGCCCAGGTGCCCGCTGGCCGGGAGCTCACCCCTCCCCGCCCGCGCCGGCGCCGGCCGTCTGGCAGCGCCGGGGTCAAAGGTTAAAGTGCCGCGGGCCGACTCCAGGGGGCGGGGCGTCAGCTGCGGGTCCCTAGCCCGGGATCCTGCCTCTCCCACCCCGCCAAGCCCCCAGCCTCCGCGGGGACGTCCCCTCCCCGGGACCCCCCCACCTCCCAGCCTCCGCGGGGGCGCGCCTGGCCCGAGATCCCCCTCCAGGCCATGCCCCCCAGCCTCCGCGGGGACGTCCCCTGCCCGGGACCCCCACCTCCCAGCCTCCGCGGGGGCGCGCCTAGCCCGGGATCCCCCTCCAGGCCATGCCCCCCAGCCTCTGCGGGGATGTCCCCTGCCCGGGACGCCCACCTCCCAGCCTCCGCGGGGACGCCCCAAGCTCCGGGTCGCAGCCCCTGCCGGCCCTCGGGAGAGGCCGGGGCGTTTCGAAAGGCCCCGCCACCCCGCAGCCCCCTGCTCGGCACCCCCCCCCCCGGAAGACGGGAAGTTCGGGGAGGAAGCTGCGCGCCGCGGCCCGCGGGCCGGATGAGTCAGTGCGCTGCGCGCCCCGCCGCCGTTTGCCTTTTAAGGCGGACTCGCGGGCAGCGGACGTGGCCTGCCCGGGACCCACCCGGCGGAGGGGCGACGGGGACGGCGGGCCGGGGGCTGGGAGGGGACGCTCCCCACGGGCCCCTCACTCCCCACCCTGCCCTGAATTGACACGGAGGGACACTGGGCCCGGAGAGGGGCGGAGACCTGCCAAGGTCACATAGCACGGCGGGGTGGAGCCAGAAGACACCCAGAAGCCTGCTTCCCAGCTCAGGGCCGGGCCAGAGATGACTCACACTCTCTAGGGGTGGGGAGGGAGCGGCGGGGCTGCATTTATTGAGCACCCACTGTTTGCCTCCACCTTTCTCTTCCTCGCAGCAGTTCTGCAGGGCGGGCGGGGTCGGGCCCAGCTCAGCCCGGATGCGGGCTCTCCCGGGAGGGAGGGGAGCCGCTGCGCCCCTCCCCATTCCCTCCCTCTAACCGGCCCGGCTGGGCGTAGTACTTTACATTTACACAAATTCAGATGAA